GCAGAGAGAGAGAAGAGGACAACAAACGAGGGGCTGTGACAAACTGTTTCGTCGGAGTTTCACCGACTCATCAGGAGGCTGTATATATATATCGTTTGTCACAGCCCCTCGTTTGTTGTCCTCTTCTCTCTCTCTGCCTACGGTTCACCGGGCAGTTCTGTTTGTGACGATATATATATATATATATCGTCACAAACTCAAATATATATATATCGTCACAAACAGATATATTGTATATATCGTCACAAACAGATATATCGCATATATATATATCGGCGAAACTCCGATGAAACAGTTTGTCACAGCCCCTCATTTGTTGTCCTATTCTCCTCTCTGCCTACGGTTGACCGAGCTGCTCTGTTTGACTATATAAATATATAAGTATATAAATACACAAGATTGCGCTCTTCGAAGGTTAATTTGCACTTCAGGCCAGCAACCAGGTCGCATGTTGGTTTGGACAAAACCCCAGGTGTGCTCGCGTTTTAGTGTACCCTTTAAACACGGATTTCGTTTCCCAAACCCGACATTAAATAATAATAATAATAATAATAATAATAATAATAATAATAATTAAAAAAAAAAAACTTCCGCCTCAAGAGTCAATAGACTCAATACCCATCATAGATGCATGCATTTCCCAATAACTCCCAACCAACTGCCGTCCACTCAATCACAACCGGTGATCCGTCAAATAAAACACCACAAAACAAAATCTCAAGATTCCCAACTTTTCGGTCCCTCAAAAAAGAATATTAAAAAATCTCACCTTTTCGGACCCTTGCCCCATTCAGAAAGGTTCCATTCGAGCTTCCCAGATCAGAGATATTCCATTCACCCTTGGTTTCATCCCACGATACAACCGCATGCCTCTCCGATATCTGAACCACCACCATACAACGGACACTACAGGTGAGCAAAGCAGCACCAGCTTTTTCACTTGACAACTGTCACTTGGCTTCATTTGTTCGGAATAAACCCCCCACGCGGAGACCATATTCAGTATCAAACACGAACATTGATAAACACATAATGTCCACCATGTATGTCATAAGAACATAAGGAGAAAAAGAAAAAGAAAAATACAAGAGATGATGCTTGTAATGTTTCTTTGCATCAGGTGTCTTTGTTCTGACGCTTGAATGCACACCTATTCCCCACAGAGAGGGCAGGCATAGAAAGAGGGACTCCAAACTTGAGAAGGAGAAGACCGAGAGGCTTGCTCCTGATAGGCAACTCGAGGGAGAGGGAGAGGGAGAGGGAGAGGGAGTGAACTACATACCTGTTGGTTGGTGAGGGCGACCATAGCTATGCCACATGTGTGCAACTTGAGACTTGTTCGTTCATGATTTGGTTTCCAGATCACTTCTAGTCATCATATCGTGTTCATCTCTTAGCGTGCGAGGTCGGAGCTTTGTGTGACAACTTATGGGCTTGCACGGGATTGCGATTCGAATTTGGCGAGATCATTGCAACTGGTATCACCGTATTAGAGCGCACTCTCCTCATCTTCAAGCTGGGACGCGAAGGAGGAGTCGGTTTGTGACACAGGCTGCAGGTGGAATCGATTCCAGTGAGTGGGGTGAAGGCGGAGAATGCAGCAGACCCGTGTCAGTGAGAAAGAAGAAGAACTACCTGAAGCTTTGGAGGATCATCTCCACGCAAGTACTGAAATACCTCTTCAACCCTAGCCTTGGATGGGCCTGCAGTCTGCGCTGGCTAAAGGCTCTGCCCTTGATGTCAACTAAGCTAGCTAATGGGCCTGAGAAACTGGTAAGTTCGACTTCAAACTGCAGCCAGTCAAAGTCAAGTATACCACGGTAGCCGATGCGTTGTCAAGAAGAGCTGACTTTTTCAGAAAAAAACAGTCACCTACCTTGACGCCGGAAAGGAACTCCAGCCAAGAGTAAAAGCTGCTTATGCAGATGATCCGATTCTGAGCACCATAATTGCTGGAGTACGGGAGAAACCCCATGAAGTACCTGAGTATTGATGGGCTGTTGTTTCCGACTTCAACCGGTGAGGACTATCCGCATTCTCAAATTCGGAGAGTGCCATGACACGGTGTCGGCGCCCTCGGTTCGCGGGCAAAGGATCCGCATTTGAGAACGAGAAAAATGCGGTTTTGTGCACAGCTCTGGATAATCCGAGATATAACGGTTATAAAAAGAAAAGGATATAAGGCCCTAGAGAGAGGAGTGAGAAAAGGATAAACCGCAACATAATGGCCAACCTCGACCTAAAAAACAGCGACCAAGTACATTCTAAGGCGATCAGACTTTGGTCACCAATAAGACCCTAAGAAATATTTTCAAGAAGTTTGTTGAGGACAACTGTAACTGGGACTTGCACTTATCACATGTAGAGGTTGCCTACGACCATGTTATCTTGCTTGCCACTAGGATGCCACCTTATTATTGTAATTTTGACTTTCACCCTTGTGTACCCACGGCCATCCTGGATCAACACGTACACCCTGTGTCCTGCATTGATGACTGGTTCGCCAAGATGGCTGAGATCTTAGACCGTGCCCGTACTAACATTGTTTCCCAAGCGGATACTAACATTGTTTCCCAAGCTCGCATATCCGCTTGCGACAATCGCTCTCGCATGGATCAAGATTGGCAATAGGGTCCTCACAACGCACGTCACTTCTATGCCAAACACGCTTTTCAAATTTCCACGTCACTATGTCAAACCGTGCACTATTCTTACTACAGTTGGGTCCGATCAGAGTTGCCCGCTATTTGTACCACGCAAACCTTCATAACGTTTTCCATGTGCCATTGGTGTGACCTTTCTATCACTCCCTTAATAGGTTTCGCGAACGATCTTACCCTTGCCCTTGTTCTATCATGGTGGATGACCTGAAGGAGTTTGTCATCTCTAATGTCTCTGACGTTGTCTACCCGCGTATCATGGATGATAACCCTTCCACATCAAGTCTCTTGTGCGTCAGAAGGGCTATTCTGACAAGGAGCCTACTTTGGAACCACCAGAGCACTTGACGCATACAATGGATTCCATCCATGCTTATGACCGAGCTCATGCCCCTGTTGGTCCCTCCTATGCATCTACTTTCAGACCCCATACTAACCCTTCTTCCTTTACAACCCTTGACCCTGCATCCTTTACTTCAACCCCATTGACGGATGTTCCTGCTCCTCAGGCTCTTACCAAGGTGGTAGTTCCTCCTCCTTCGATCTATATAAGTGTTGCATGACAAGGTGCCAGTTTCTTCTGGCTTGGTTTGTCTATCTATGAGTCTCACAATCTTTGTTTGTGTAAATGTATGCATGGGTACTAATCACTGAAGGATTGTGAAGCTTGTATTCTCACTTTCTCCCTCTACGAATGAAGTACATGTGAGTGTTTCCCGTAACACTCTTCCACTTGCAAGAAGAGCGCGCAAAGCGCTGACCTTTTCGAAAGTGCAAGACCATTCGGGCTTGTCTGATCTATCGATGGGATGGATGTTAACTTCTTTCTTTTTGATTGCCTACCTCGTGCATGGAATGGAAGGCGTATTTTTCTAAATGAATGAATGATCGCACACTCGGATGGTTGGTTTCCTCACGGATGTGATCTGCCTAAGTTATGTGAATGTTTAGGACCTTGGGTTAGATTTGTTAGGACCTTGGGTTAGATCTGCTCGTAGAAGGTAGTCAAAGGAACTTCTCTTTGTACATCATCTCCAGTTTTGCATGCATGCACAAGTATGTAGCGAGCTTAGTACTCATTACACTCTTCCGCTTGCATGTGTATGCAAATAGTGCTCGTCGCTAGGTCTTCTTTGGGTTGAGTAATGTTATCGCTTTCAGATTCAAAAGCGAGTGAGTACAGCACCCCCGTTGCACTTTTCCGCTTGCACAAAAGAGCAGTACACGTCAAGTGATGTGCGCATTTGTCGTGGTTATTCTACTAGGGAATAGATCGACATATTTTGTGAATGGTCAATGTATGTGATGGATGTTGTCCACGCCCCGTGATAAGTCCTACAATGTTTGCTAGCGCACCTCGATTGTCTGCTTCGTCATCGTGTGGACATCCCAGCCCATGTCCGGAGTAACGAGGACAGGCCACGTGCATGCAAGTGGAATGTGCATGACGTCGTAGCACAAACCAGAAAGCCGTGTCAGTTTCCCTCTGAGACGCAGTGTTCGGGTTTCATTAACTTTGGGTTTGTGATTGTTGACACCATTTTCCCTCCCTATTCCGTCTTATTGCCTTTTAAACCACCAGTACTTGGCCCAGCTATCAGCCGCAGAAAAAAATGGAGTAGAAACATTTCTAGTTGGATGAATTTAGGCGCTCCTGTAGTGGCCCGTACGTTTCCTAAAATTGTGGCGCGTTAACGGGCACGAGTTTAGGAAGTACTAGTGGTTTAATGAGTTGATCGTCATTTCGAGGCCGGCTATTGCTCCTCACTACCGTGTTCCCCTGAACATAACGCACCCTAAAAATGAATGTATACAAGCTAAATTTCCAGTTCGGTACAGCCGTAATCAGGGTGCGCTGTGTTCGGGGGAAGACGTAGCCCCGAACTTTTTGTTATGACTATCAACGTGCAAAATGGCCAAAGGTTGAGCGGCTCCGACTACGCGCTACACGAAGACTCAGAAGTTGTGGAAAAAGTCGCGTATCTACGACCTTTTGATTTTGACTCTCAACTCTGCGAGACACGTCGTCGAGCACTCGTCCATAGCCGAGATCCTTCGTAAACCCTCACACCGTTCCGTCTGAAACTGACACCCAAGAGATGCCAATTCCGATCTAGGACTCCACACCCACTTTTTCCTACAATCCTTGGCACACCCCCATACATGCTTTCCGGGCCCTTTCCGCATTTCAGTCCGCTCGTAAAGGAAAGCAAAGTAGGGTGTGAGGTTGAGCGTCACAGTCCACTCTCAACGTTGTCGTACACGCCATCGTTATGATGGCTAACCTTCTTCTCCTCTTTGACTACCTCATTTTCGATATCACATTGCAGAAACTTCCAGATGCCATCAATTAGTCCGAGCAGCAGTTGCCTCGACTTCCACATTAGCTTTCCACTCCTCCGAGTTTCCTAACGACTTCGATTGGACTAATCAAAGAGCTTCAAGAGTTCAACTTCCAAATGCTTCATTGGTTATTTTTATTTCACTTTTCCAACTACTTCATTGGATACAATTACTTTATTGTTGCTCATTGTTCCGTGAGTTACCCCATGTACACCCCGCATTGTTATGTATTCTCTCATTGTGAGCTCTCCCAGTTTGGCGTATAGGCATATGGGTCAAGCATCACCATGGCACCACATCTCTCAATTTTATCTCACCGCTGCAAATCGTCTTTATGAGTGCTATTCCCGCTTGCACCTGATTGGCCTTAGTCTACGCCAGCATAACACCTCAATTTCACCCCACCCCTGCTAGTCCTTCGAAGTGTTTTGTTTCCCACTCGCATCACATTGGCCATTAATCTATATCGGCATTGCATCCCTTCCAGGCTCGTCATTGTGTTGTTGCGATTCACATTTGCGTTAAATTTCCTTATCTACGGTTGGCACCCACCTTGATGATCCATCAGCCCCGGTACTGTTTCGTCCCCTCCTCACCCTACCCCTACCCTGACGAGTACCCCGTTGTTGTGTAGATTCCCCTTTGAAGTTTTGTTCTGAGCATTGCATCTGCCATCCCCAAGCCCATCCCTACGTGTTGTTCAGAGACCGAGTTACTCATTTCATTATTTGAGGTATTGCACAAATAGATGTATAGGGCACGTGAGTTGGAGCAGACTTAGTAGCTGCAGTGATGTTAGATGTGGCAAACTCGTTTAGGATTTTTTGGGCCACTAGGGTCTGTTCATGACACTATTCTTTTGGCCATGTTGGCCTCAT